TATACACATTATTATTCTTTTCTTTTAGATAAAGTCCTTTTCCTTCAAATTTTCAGTTCTGTAGATAATAGGACAATAATGTGCATACTTCATAAATAATCAGACTAAATTGGCCTCATTTAAAAACATAAGAATTGCCGGGTGTGGTGGCACACGCCTTTAATCCCAGCACTTGGGAGGCAGAAGCAGGCAGATCTCTGTGAGTTCAAGGCCAGCCTGGTCTACATAGCGAGTTCCAGGTCAGCTAGGGCTACAGGGAGACCCTGTCTCAAAAAGACACCCCCCCCCAAAAAAAAAACCTTTGGTTCTTCATTTTTTGAAATCAAATATCTTTGTCTTTAACATTGCTGCTGTGGGGCTGCTATGGGGGTTTTGTTTTTGTTTTTGGATGTTGGAGATTACACCTAGGACTTAGTGCATGGTAAGTACATGCTCTACTACTGAACTACAGGCCCAATGATAAGGTTGTATAAAATTGTACATGCTTTTTATTTTTTGTTTGTTTTTGAGACAAGCTCTGGTATAGCTTAGGCTGACCTATAATTCACTGTGTAGCATAGGATAATCTTGAGCTCTTGAACCTTCTGCCTCCACCTCCTAAGTGCCACCACACCTAACTTCTTGTTGTTGGTGGTATTGGAGATCTAGGCTCTTGCAAATGCTAGGCAAGCATTCTGCCACTTGGCTATATTCTCTTACAAGTTTTTAAAATTTAGTTTATCTTAAAAATATGAAAACAAGCTGGGCATGGTGGCTCACACCTTTAGTCCCAGCACTCGAGGGTAGATCTCTGTGAGTTCAAGGCCAGCCTGGTCTACAAATGGAGTTCCAGACCAGCTGGGGCTACAGGGAGACCCTGTCTCAAAAAAGACCAAAAAAAAAAAGTGTGTGTGTGTGTGTGTGTGTGTGTGTGTGTGTGTGTGTGTATGAAAACAAAATTTATAAATTTACAGTTATAAAAATGAATACTTTTCATTTGAGCAGAAAAATTGAAAACCTTAAATAGCAAATTTATATTGAAAATTGAATTTAGATACATTATTATGCCATACCTTTCTTCCTTCACTTAGTAATATCTAATTTTTAAAAATTAATTAAAATTTTCTCTTTTTTTGAGACAGGGTCTCACTATTTATCTCTTACTGACTTGGAGCTCTGTTTAGACCAGACTGGCCTTGAACTCAGAGATCTGCTTGCCTTTGCTTCCCAAGTGCTGGAACTAAAGACTTGAGCCCTAATGCCCAGCCTATAACATCTGACTTTAACCTTTGAATAATGATGGAATAACATTCCCACAGTTCTTAAAAGAAATGTGTCTATGTCCTCATATTATGTGGGTTCTCTATTTGCATATTCATAATAACATGAGGCCAAGATTGTTCAGAATTAGACCTCTCTTTGCCAAGAAGATCTGGTGGTAGAGTAGAGTAATACATTACACCCCCACACAGCATTTCATATGTGTGCTCAGTTTTAGAGCACAAATTGTGCTTCTGTCTTGTTTCTTCCTGACCCAAACTATGTAGTTCAGCCATATGTTAAGCTTCATCTCAGCTAGCTAGGGCTATGAGCCAAGTGATTTTTTTTTTTTTTTTTTTTGCTAGTTTGAAAAGACCTTGAAGAAAGAAAAGATCCTTTGAGATGCAGACATGACATAATTTTTTTTTTATTTGTTTATTTTTGAGATGGTCTCTCTGTAGACCAGGCTGGCCTCCATCCCACACAGATTCAACTGCCTCTGCCTCTAGAGTGCTAGAGTTAAAGGCCTGTGCCACCATACCTGGCTGAGTGGGTCTTCTGAGCAGTAGTCTAATAACCTGGTGTCTGAGGCCCACTGAATTCTGACCCTTATGGAGGTCAGGAGGATAATTTTCAGGAGCCAGTTGGTCTCTTTCCACCATGTGGGTTCTGGAGATCAAACTCAGGTTATAAAATTTGGTACCAAAAGCCCCTGAGCCATTCAAATATTGATATTTTTTTTTTTTAGGACTGCAGATATAGTTCAGTGGGATGTGCTTGTCTAACAGGTACATGCCCACAGTTCAATCCCTAGTACTACATTTCAAAAAAAAAAGCAGGTTAAAATATATTTTGCCTCTTCTTATTATGTTTACATTAAAGATAGAACATCAACCCTAAAGTATTATTTAAAAATTCTGATTGTATTCTTTTTTTGTTTTGTTGAGATAGAGTCTTCCTGTATAACTCTGGCTATAGCCTAAAACTCTCTATGTGGACCAGGCTGACCTCAAACTCACAGATCTGCCTGCCTCTGCTGGGATTAAAGGTGTTCCCTATTCTGAATTCTTTTTTTTTTTAATATTTTATTATTTTTATTTTACGTGTATGAGTGTGTTGCCTGCATGTATGTAAGTGCACCTGTGTCGTGGAGTGCACCCATGTCGTGGAGTGCACCCTTGTCGTGCAGTGCCGTGGAGGTCAGAAGAGGGCTTTGGATTCCCCTGGAACTGGAGTTAAGGATGGTTTGTAGCCGCCATGTGGGTGCTGGGAATTGAACCCGGGTCCTCTGCAAGAGGAGTCGGTGTTCTTAACTGCTGAGCCATCTCTCCAGCCCCCCTATTCTGAATTTTTAACAGAACTGTTCTTTGTTTTATTATTGTGCTTTTGAGTTTCAGATTTCACTGTGTATCCCAAACTGGCCTCAAATTCATGATCCTAAAGCCTCATCCTCTGGAATGTTCTGATTAAACCCACCTGTCATTGTACTCAGCTTAAAAGAAATGCTTTTGTTATATTTGTTTTGTGGGATTAATAATGGAACCCAGGGGTTTTCGCATGTTAGGCAGTTTGCTGTTGAGCCATTCTTATAGAAGCCTTCTATTCTTTTTGTTGTTGTTGTCTTTTTAAGACAGGGTCTCCCTGTAGCCCCAGCTGGCCTGGAACTCATTATGTAGACCAGGCTTGCCTCAAACTCACAGAGATCCACCTGCCGCTGCCTCCCAAGTGCTGGGATTAAATGCTACCACACCCAGTTTAATTAATTTTTATTTTATGTGAATTGTTTGCCTGTACTACGTGCATGCAATGCCCACAGAGGCCAGAAGAGGGCATTGGATTCCCTGGAACTGGAGTTAACAGACGTTAGCTGCCACATAGGTGCTGGAAAATAAACCTGGGTGTTGTGCAAGAGCAGCCAGTGCTGAACCATCTCTCCAGCCCTTGCTGTTTTCATTTTTGAAGCAAAAACATAGTCTTTGATTGCTTTTCTTATGAATTATACTTGAGAGAAGGGGCAATTTTAAAATTAGACAAATGATAACCAATATATTCTTTGAATTGACTCTAAAAAGAAATGAGTAAGCCAGGCTTGGTGGCACATGCTTGTAATCCTAGCACTTAGGAGATGAAGGCAGATGGATCAAGAGTTCAAGGCCATCCTTGGCTGTATAGTGTATTCAAGGCTAGTCTGGGCACATGAGATCCTGTCTTTTTAAAAAAGAAGGGACTGGGGCTGGAGAGATGGCTCAGCGGTTAAGAGCACTGTCTGCTCTTGCAGAAGACCCGGGTTCAGTTCCCAGCACCCACATGGCAGTTACAAACTGTCCTTAACTCCAGTTCCAGGGGAATCCGACACCCTCTTCTGATCTCGTGGCATTGCACGACATGGGTGCACTCACACAAATGAAGGCATACACATAAAATAAAAAAAATAAATAAAATATTTAAAAAAAAATAAAGGGGGCTGGAGAGACAGCTCAGTGGTTAAGAGCACTGGCTGCTCTTCTACAAGACCTGGGTTCCATTCCCAGCACCCACATGGCTGCAAACAACATTCATAACTCCAGTTCCAGGAGATGCAACGCCTTCTTCTGGCCTCTGTGGGCTATGCAAGACACGGGTGTACTTACTTACATGGAGGCAAAACACTTATATACATAAAATAAAAATAAATTTTAAAAAAGAAATGAAAAAGAAAACATCAGTATTACATAAAACAAAACCAAAGACTTTTGTAACCCTCAGAGTCTATGTTTTTTTTTTCTCTTAAATTTAAATCTGTATTATTTAAACTTGCATTAAAATAGGCAATATAAAAGCCAGGTGTGCTAGTACACGGCAGAGAGGCAGGTGAATCTCTGTGAGTTCAAGGCCAGCCTGGCCTACAAAGTGAGTTCCAGGCAATCTGGGGCTACAGGGAGACCCTGTCTCAAAAAGACAATTAATTAATTAATTAATTAATTAATTAATTAATTAATTAATTAATCCTTTAAGACAATATTCTAAGTGAAAAAGCAAGTCAAATATTGTATGAGTCTAACTTTGTTTGGGTCTTACAGTACTCAAATTCAGACAGAAAGTAGAACAGTGGTTGCCAGGGACAAGAGAGGGAAAAAATTACTGTTTCACATTGAAGTAATGGAAGATGTAAAGTTCTGGAAATGAATGGTAGTAAAGGTCATTTGAGAAAATAAATGCACTTAATGCCAGTAAATTGTACAAATTTTTCTCCACCTTTAATTTTTAGCGTGAGTAGCAACTCCTATAATTTATTTGAATCATTGAATTGTTTTAAGAATTGTTTGCTTTAGGGTCAGGTGTGATGGCACACAGCTTTAATCCCAGCAAGCAGAAGCAGGTGGATCTCTGTGAGATTAAGGCCAACCTGGTCTATATAGTAAGCCCCGGGCTATTTGGGGCTACAGGGAGACCCTGTCTCAATAAAAAGACCAAAAAAAGTATTATGCTTTAAATTTTCATATGTATAAGCAACCTTATTGTTAGATATAAGAATATATAGGTATTTTTTGAGGACCGAGTTTGTTTTGTTTTGTTTTTTAACAGAGTCTTGCTATATTGCCCAAGCTGACCATGAACTCCTGGGCTCAAGCAATCTCCTGTCTCAGACTCCCGGGATTATAGGCATCTGCCATGGTGCCCAGTGAGGGAAGTATTTTTTTTTAATGCTGCTTTCAGTTCTGTGTTCTTGAGAACACATGATAGAATTATGTGTTTTGATAGAGAGGACTTTAAATTATGAAATCAGTCATGTGACCTAATTAGTTAATGTTTTATATTTATATTTTTTTTTCTCCAAGCAGGTGTGCAGTGTTGTACAAATCACCAAGCCAGAAGGAATCCACAATACTCTTTCAAATCACAGTCAGTATTACTTAATCAGAGTGGAATTTTGGTGCTGGTGGGCAGTAATTATCTGAAGTATACAAATTGTTTCTATTAACTTTAATAAGCAGCAAGCATATTTGAGGTGTTTTTGATACTTAGAAAGTCTCCAAAATACTACATGCTAAATACTGTAATCACAGTTGAACTGAATTTTTTTTTTAATTAAGAATGTTTTTATGTATAGCTGGATGTGGTGGCACATGCCTTTAGTCTCAGCACTCTGAAGTAGAAGCAGGTGGATCTCTGTGAGTCAGGCCAGCCTGGTCTACATAGTGAGTTCCAGGCCAGCTGGGGCTACAGGGAGACCCTGTGTCAAAAAGACAAAAAAATTTATTTATTTTTATGATTATGAGAATTTTGTCTGCATATAGGTGTACCTGTATTATGCAGTATGTGTGGAGGCCAGAGGAGGGCATTGGGTTTCCTGGAACTGGAGTTACAGACAGTTGTTAGCCACCATGTGGGTGCTAGGAACCGACCCATCTGCTCTGCAAGAGCAGCCACTGCTCTTAACTACTGAGCATCTCTCCAGCTCCCTGAAATTTATTTTTGAGAAAGAGAAAATCCTTGTTTGGGGATAGTATGTTCCGTGGCATATGCAAAGTCAAGTATTAAAAGATTTTTAAGCTGAACGTTTCCAGAAAAGAAAAAAAATAGAACTAGATATGATGGCACATGCCTGTAATCTCTCAACTTGGAGACTTAGGCATGAGGATCAGGAGGAGTTTCAGGCCAGTCTAGACTACATAGCAAGTTCAAGACCAGCCTTGGCTATATAAGATCCTTTCTTTCAAAATAAGAAAAAATGCCAACATTAGTCATTCTATAGATCTCATAACCAAATATAGTACACTTTGAAATGTTCATTTTCCTGAGAATTTATATCATAGGACATACATGAAGCCCAGGCTGGCCTCAAACTCACTACATAGATGAGACTGTGCCTCCAGTCTCGAGTTTTACATGTGCTAGGAAGACACTGGAACAACTAAGCTATATCCCAGTCCCAGCCATCTTGATTTTAAAAGAACAAAAGCAGAAATGAAACGACTCTGAATTATCCTCATAGTTTTTACATTGTGTAGATGCATTTAATTGTTTTCTTTGAGACAAGAACTTGCTATGTAGCCCAGACTGACCTGAACTTTTGATTCTCTTGCCTCTGTTTCTGAGTGCTGTAGTTACAGGTATATGCCATCATGCCTGACAAAAGATTTTATTATGTTATTTTATTATTGGTAAAGTTATTTGTAAACCACCTAAGAAGTACTACAGACTACTTCCTTTCACCTCTTCTAACAAAGGAACCATAAGGCTTATTAATATTCTTCTTAACTTTTTTTTTAATTTGGCCACAGGGGTGTTATGCCTTACCCCTGAGCTATATAGCCCTAGTCATAGAGAACATTTTATAATGCATTGTTCTTTCTTTTTTTAAATTTATTTTTATTTTTATTTCATGTGTTATGCCTGCATGTATATAAGTACACCCATGTCATGCAGTGCCTGCAGAGGTCAGAAGAGGGTGTCAGAATCCCCTTGAACTGGAGTTACTGACAGTTGTTAGCTGCCATGTGGATGCTGGGATTCCAACCCACGTCTTCTGCAAGAACAGTGTTCTTAACCACTGAGCCATCTCTCCAGCCCATTATTTTTATATATATATATATATAAAATGCTCTAATACAAATCTGACTTGGACTATCCATGGAGTTTGTCTTTTTAACTCACAGTGAATAATAAATAACAAAATAGCTTCATCAGTTATTTAAAAATTATTTGGGGGACTGGAAAGATGGCTTGGTGGTTAAGAACACGTGAGCTCTTCTAGAGGACCCAGGTTTGGTTCCAGGCACCCACATAGCAGCTCACTACTGTCTATAACTCCAGTTTCAGGGGCTCCAATACCTTCCCTTCTCAGGTACTAGATACACATATGTGCACATGCAAACATGTAGACAAACACTCATAAGTTTTTTAAAAACTTACTTGGAAAGCTAGTCTTTTAGATGCTCTTTAATTGTATTTGTATTTTTCTTGCAGCCTCAGGGATTTAGAGATGCTGTTGCTACTGCTGCCTCATCACAGACAATAGATTCATTGAATTTCCGGAAACGGTCACGAGAACCAGAGGAAGAACTCATCCAAAACTAATTTCAAAGTCTAAAAGTAGATTGATGATGTGATATTCAGTACATATAAATAGTATATATTTTACTTTAAAATAAAAATGTGCTATGGCCTGAAGTGAATCAGAATTCTATGAAGTAGGGAAAATATTTAAGGAGTATTTTTCTATGAAAAAAGTTTTTTTCCTCTTTCTCTCTCTCTCTCTCTCTCTCTCTCTCTCTCTGTGTGTGTGTGTGTGTGTGTGTGTGTGTGTATTGCACTCTCATGCACGGTGCTCAGAGAACAGCTGTAGGAGAGTAACTTCTCTTCCGATTTGGTTGGTCAGGGTTTTTTTTTGTTTTTTTGAGACATGTAGGCCAGGTTGGCCTTGATCTCACAGAGATCTTCTGCCTCTGCCTCCTGAGTGTGCCACCACACCTGGCTCCACCTTGTTTTTGACACAAGATCTCTTGTTCCTGTTACTGTGTACTCCAGGCTAGCTGGCCCACAAGCTTCAAGCTTCAGCTGATTCTCCTGTCTTTGCTTCCCATCTCATTGTAGTAGTGCTGGGATTACATATTCCCCTTCACACCACCACATGTGGGTTCTGGGGCTTGAACTCAGGTTGTCCAGCTTGCACAGTAAGTGCTTTTATTTACAGAGCCATCTTCCTGTAGCCCCAGCTGTCCTGGAACTCACTATGTAGACCAGGCTGACCTTGAACTCACAGAGATCGGCTGCCTCTGCCTCCTGAGTGCCGGGATTAAAGACCTGCACACCACACACAACTTTTTTTTGAGACAGACTTTCTCACTGAACTTGTAGCTCAACAATTCAGCTAAGCTACCTAGCCAATAAGTTCCAGAGATCCTGCTGTCTTTGTCCCACCAGCACTGGGGTTAACAGATACAAACTGCTGTGCTGGGGATCCATACTCAGGTCCTTATATTTGCGCAGCAGGCACTTTACCCCCGGAGTCATCTCCCCAGCTCTTGCAGAAGGTTTTCTAAAGTAGTGTTATATAATTACATTTTGGTGTGTTTTAATTTTCAGCAACGTTCAGTAGACATGATAAAAGTATTGCATTTTCCAAGTGTGGAAAACAATCTTACCTATCTGAATTTACCATTCAGACTGGAGATTTTCTTCGCTGGTTGCCTTTCTAGTACTAGAGCTAAAACATTTTTTAAAATATTGAGCTTTGATAAAATTCTTTTTTTTCTTTTTTTTTTTTTGTCTTTTTGAGATGGTCTCCCTGTAGCCCCAGCTGTCCTGGAACTATATAGACCAGGCTGACCTTGAACTCACAGAGATCGGCCTGTCTCTGCCTCCTGAGTGCTGGGATTAAAGACGTGCGCCACCACACTCAACTAGGATTTTTTTTTTTTTAAAGACAGGTCCTCACTATGTAACCCTGGAACTCACAGAAACCTGCCTGCTTCTGCCTCGTGAGTGCTGAGATTAAAGGTGTGCACCACCATGTCCACCCTTTTTAATATTTCCTAATTCATTAATGTAATTGAGTTTGATTCACTGTGAAAGGAGAATAAGTAGAAAATAGAACTTATTTTTTTAGTACTGGAGTCAAACCCTGGACTGTCCATGCTAGATGGTAGGCAAGTTCCTACCACTTAGCTACATTCCAGCCTCAGAAAATTTTACTTAAATAATCGAATATTATATAATTTGACAATATTTTCAAATTTTCTAGTACTAGTTGATGTTTTGTTTCAGACTGAATACCAAACCTATAAATTTTCTTCATTATAATTATTTTGCAGTTAATTATGCATGGAACAACTAGCTTGTCAGGAGTGTTTAAGAATGAACGTAGCATTGCTAACAGTCATGCCAGGGCAGTCCTAGGCATGCACGTGTTCATCCTGATCATGTGACTGATTTCAGATAACAGTTGTACTTCTCATAATTGATGCAGTCATTAAAAGTTACCCATCACTGGGAGGCAGAGGCAGGCAGATCTCTGGGTTTGAGGCCAGTCTGGTCTACATAGTTCCAGGACAGCTGGGGCTACAGGGAGACTCTGTCTCAAAAAGACCAAAAAAGAAAAAGTTATCCATTACTTTATATTCTGTCCACTTGGGTCAAATCATAAAATCAAGAGTGTCAAAGTGTTGAAAGTAGTAAATATACTGTATTGGGTATTTTCAGGCATCGGGCAATGTGGATCTCTTTTTTTTTTTTTTGCTTTGAGACAAGATCTGACTGTAGCCCAGGCTGCTGGCCTTGAATTCACAATCCTGTCTTACTCTTAGTGTTAAGATTATAGGCATGTACCACGTCTAGGTTCATAGTGAGATTTTTTTCTTTTCTTTTTTTTAATTTCTTGTGGTAGGGATTCAGACCTAGGGCCTTGCACATTCTGAGTTAGCACTTAGCTGTACTTCAGCCCCAGGATGCTATCATTGAAAAGAATCGTAAGACCCCCGAATACAGACAAAACCAAGTGTTCATGTTTGTAGTTATTTTAAAATAAAATTTATATAACAGCTATTTTTCTGGTAATAAAGAATAGAGATTTCCTATATACTTTATGAGACTGTTATTAACAAAGTGCTGTAGACTAGGTGACTTACACAAAGCTGTATTTTCTAGCTTGGGAAGTGAAGGCAGGAGGATTAAGAGTTCAAGGCTTTCCTGGGCTACATTGCAAGTTCAGGGCCAGTTTGAGCTACATGAGATCCTATCTCAAAACAAGTTTTTAAAAGTTTTCTTACATGTCCAGAGACTAGAAATTTGATGAAAAGATGCTAATATAGCCAAGTTCTACTGATGGCTTTTTTTTCCCCCCTAGCTTTCCAGAGAGTCACCTTCTGTCTTAGTTTGTTCTTCATTGCTGTGACAAAACACTCTGACCAGTACCAACTTGGGGAGGAAAGGGTTTATTTGTCTTACATCTCCCAGGTCACATGCAGTTCATCAGGGTTAGGGCCCCTCAGACATGGCCACAGGCCAGTCCAATAGAGGCAATTCCCCGATTGAGGCTCCCTCAACCCAGGTGTGTCAAGTTGACACTAAAGCTATCCAGCACACCTTCATACAGTAAATGTTCTTGGAAGTCGCCAATCTGTTTAGATTAATACCCGACTCTTATGACTTGATGATTATACTTAATTAGCTCCTAAAATTCTTATCACAGTACTTAACCAGGTCTGGTCTTGCTTAGCTTCTAAGAGCATTCAGCTAGGTGCATTCAGTGTGATATAGGTACATAGTAGAATTTTATTCTGCTATTAAGAATGACAAGCACTTTCACCCACTCAACCAAATCACCAGGTCCTGTACTTCAGTGTTTTATTTTTCTAAGATTTATTATTTTTTATTTTTTAAAATTTATTTTAATTTTATGTATATGTTTTTGCCAGTATGTAAGTGCACTTACATAACTTACACTGAACCATCTCTCTAGTCCCAACACTTAGTCTTTATTTTTTTATTTTATTTAAAATTTTTTTTTGCATTTTTTAGGCTGTGAATGAGTGTATTGTCTGCATGTGTGTAAGTGCACCCATGTCATGCAATGCCCTCAGAGGTCAGAAGAAGGTGTTGGGTCCCTTGGAAATGGAGTTAACATATAGTTGTTAGCCATCATGTGGGTGCTGGGAATTGAACCTGGGTCCTCTGCAAGAGCTGTCAGTGTTTTTGGGGGCGGGGGGTTGTTTTTTGTTGTTTTTGTTTGTTTTAGTGTTTTTGAGTCAGGGTCTCCCTGTAGTCCCAGTTGGCCTAGAACTCACTATGTAGACCAGGCCTGCCTCTGCCTCCCAAGTGCTGGGATTAAAGGCGTGTGCCACCATGCCCAGCTTTGGAGCTGTCAGTACTCTTAACCACTGAGCCATCTCTCCAGCCCCTTAAAATTTATTTTTATTTTATGAGTACAACTGTTTTGTCTGCATGTTAGGTGCACCCATGTCATGCAATGCCCTCAGAGGTCAGAAGAAGGTGTTGGGTCCCTTGGAACTGGAGTTAACAGATAGTTGTTAGCCATCATGTGGGTGCTGGGAATTGAACCTGGGTCCTCTTCAAGAGCTGCCAGTGCTTTTAACTGCTGTGTCATCTCTCCAGCCCCTTATTTTTAATTAGGTACATGTGTGTGTGTGTCTGTGTGTGGGTAGGTGAATTTGAGTGCAGTTGCCTGAGGAATTTCAGAGGCAGTTTTGAGACACCCAGCATGGATGCTAGGAATTGAACATAGGTCCTCTACAAGATCAGAAAGTGCTCCTAACTGCTGAGCCATCTTTCCAACCCTTGTTTTATTTATTTTTTTTACATCTATTTACTCAGTAACATGAAGGGGAGGAGCATGTTTGCCATGCTGAGTGTGTGGAGGTTAGAGGACAACTTGGAGCTGATTGTCCTAGCATGTGGGTTCCAGGGATCAAACTCATATTAAGCTATGCTAGCAAGCACCTTACCCACTGAGCTGTTGTAATAGCCAGCTATTGTTTTTTCGGACAAGATCCAAGGTTGCCTCGAACCTACTGTGTAGCCAAGGATAGCCTTGAATTCTTGATCCTCCTGCTTTCACCTCCCAAGTGCTGAGATTATAGAATTGTGCCACAATGCCCATCAGTGTAACCTGCTTGAGAAATCAAGGCCATCCTCGGCTACATACAGAGTTTGAGATGAACGTGAGCTACACAAGACCCTGTCACAAGAAAAAATTTAAGTTTTCCTGGTAAACCAGTGATACTTGAATTTCATTTTAGAGTTAGATAGTATGGTCAATTAAAAAGCTGTGTCTTGGCACTGGAAAGACGGCTCAGCGGTTAAGAACAGCGACTGTTCTTGCAGAAGACCTGTGTTCGAATCCCAGCACCCACATGGCAGCTAACTGTAACTCCAGTTTCAGGGGATCTGACAGCCTCTTCTGTCCTCCGCGAGCATTGCGTGGCACAGGTGCACTTACATGCAGGCATAACACTCATACACATAAAATTTTTTAAAAAATAAAACATCTTTTAAAAAATTGCCAGGCGTGGTGGCGCACGCCTTTAATCCCAGCACTCGGGAGGTAGACGAAGGTGGATCTCTGTGAGTTCAAGGCCCACCTGGTCTACATAGCAAGTTCCAGGACAGCTGGGGTTACGGGGAGACCCTGTCTCAAAAAGACAAAATAAATA